TTTTTAAATCTCTCATTTTCTAAATTTTTTCATTGTCTTTAGTACGATCTGGCTTCACACCTCGCGGTGCTTACACCTCTCGCCTATCGGAACACCAACCCAATCTTGAAAGCTGAAGTGGGTTTGGGGAATGGAAGAACAAGAACATCTTCTTTACCACCAAAAATGGTAACATAAGACCCTTCTTCACTCATGCTTGTCATCTGCTCGTGAATACCGTCCAGTCAAGTCTTTGTTCTTTTATTCTTAAATATGGGTGCTAACCAGATTCCCCATGTTATATGCGAGGTCAATAAAATTCTCCAGAGAGTGAGTTTCTGATCATAATGACCACCTAAAGTTGGATTTCCAGTTGTAGTTTTTAGTTTGGGGTGCCAATAGTAGCATAGTTGCTTAGTCGTCCTTCCTCTTACGTATTACAATTTAGGTGCTTTTCATGCTGCCTTTAGCGGAAAACGGACTTAATGGACAAATAAGGGATAGGCAAGAATCTGTTCTTGAACTCTAGAGAACAGGCGGAAAGAGGTTCATCAGAGCGATAGGGAAAGCTTATAGAGGGGTGGTCTTACTACGACAAGTGAAGCCAGGGTTCCCTTTGTTCGGTGTCCGGGGAAGAGAAAGGAATCTATTCGGGAAGCGCTTACCAGCCCCTTTACCGATACCAAGGGGAAGCAGGAATTAGACCAATAGGGCACTGCTCTCCGCCTGTCGTAACAACAACAAAAGTCCATACCGGAATTTCATTACCTTATTCCTTAAACCCTAAAACGGAGACATTGGTACAAGAGGAGGCTCGAGAGACCTCGAGCGTAATATACGCTACCATCGGAGAGACTTTAGCCACATCTTAACCCATGGTTGAAGAATGAGGCGATCAAGAAAGTCGTGGGCCTCGTAGTACCCGCATACGACAGCTCTGTGGAGCTTTTCGGGTCGAAAACCTGTTCGACGTCAGAACCGATCTCAAAACCCTAATATCACCCTCTGAAGAGAAAGGACTTTCTCTATATCTATATCTATGCAACTAGTTCTTTCACTTGCTTCCAAATCCATCCATCTTACTTACTCAAAAGCTTTGAATATTCTACTCGAAATCTTGCTTCTAGCTTTGGGCACCTCTGACATAAAGAGAAATAGCGTATATACAAGGCTAGCCTTTTCTCTCAAGCGTCTTGGTATTGGATCCGCTCTTCTGTTAACATGAACATGAATTAGATTCTATTCTAATTCTTTATTCTTAAGAGAATCCCCCACCCGAACCATTCTTAAGACCACCAAGCTCTCTCGAATGAATTCTACTCTTTCTGCTTTCGAGCTACACCGGGGGCAAAATCTTTTCCCCACTAAGACGTGCATCTTTATGGCTATATCGTCCTGAAGACGGATGCGACGGGAAGAAGTGGCATTTGGAAGTGTTGCTGACTTAACATTTAGGTTTCGGCATAACAAAGCTTGCACTGTCTTTTCGCACTTAGGCGCACAGCGTGCCATTGGTAATGATTCTACTACGGTGCCACAAATTCGCAAGCTGATCCTAAGTAATCGTTGTTGTTCATTGGATTCCGGAGGAACTACTTCGTTAGGATTGGGGAATTGCTGCGATTCTTCCTGAATAGCCTGGATTCTCCCGTCGAGAGTCACTTTGAAAGTCTTACCTAAACTCTTCCGACTGAATATGATAAAGCCTATAAAACATAGAGCTACTATCATTTCTTCATTATAAATTGAGATCTTCTTCGAACTTGATGCACAAATAGATAGAATAGCAGCAAATAGCATCTTTCTAGCCTGCATATTCGTGGAACTCAATCTCATTTAGAAAGCCTGATCTCTATCTTTCAGCAACTGAACGGGAAGTGGTTTAAGAATAAGAAAGGACTTTAGAATCGGATGCGCTCGCCCAGCGAGAAAGGCCCTGACCCTGCCAACCAAGTATCAAAAAGAAAGAAGAGAAAGAAAGGAGAAGAGAACTTCGTATTTTGGTAACTCTCTAGGAGTCATCTTTAACCTTGAATGCTATTAATAGATTCTACAGCAATAGTCCCTCGGACTCGGAAAGTAATAACGAAAATAGCTAACCCAATAGCAGATTCCGCAGCTGCCACCGTTGGAACCAATGAAGCAAATGATTGACCCATCATATCATCCGAAGAAACAGAAAATACCAAAAAGTTCGAATTCACAGCTAATAACATTGATTCAATTGGCATTGACATAATAGGAATATTTCGTCTATTAAGGAGGATTCCCCGAATACCTGAAATAGAGATAATCATAGAAAATGTGAAATATTTGATAGGATCCATTTCGGGAACGTAGAATGTAAGAGAAATTCAAATGTGAAACAATACGTCAGCTCTTCTACTTGAAATATCCTTCAATTATTGAAGAAATATGATTTTTTATACTCATGTTTCCCTTCCCATCCTGCTCCGCCGAGTGTTGCGCTCGGGTTAACCAAGCCCTCAAGTGCCGTAAATTAGCCCTGGGGACATTGGGTTTGTTGGCATTATAGGCAGCTTTGCTGCCGAAGCGGTCAATAATGATTTCCACCATTTCACTTGGTGATGGAAGTTCATCCAAGTTGCGGTGCCACTTCCTTCGAACAAGGCGTGCCTTCTCTGATTCAATCAGGGGGCTAATCTGTTCGGCCAAGAGATCTTTTTGTTCTTTAATCTTTGCCAATTCAAGTTGATCCAAGGCTCTTTCGATCTCGGACCGATCCCCTGGCTCTTCTTCAGCCGCGGATATGTTGAGATCAAAGGAAGGTTTTTTCGATAAGCTAGGACCACTTCCATCGCCTCCGACGGAAAGAGGAATTCTATCCATTAAAGAAAGCCAAAAATCCAGGAAGTCGCTAAGAAATGAAGTAAAGAAAGCGGCTTCAAAAGAAAAGTCCCAATTACAGTTTAAAAGGATAGGAGTAAGTAAAAGGACAGTGAGACTGAGAAAAATTCGTTTCAAAAGAGAGAAAAACAAAGCTGACGTTCGTTCTCTTCCTCTGTGCATCTCTGTGATGGGGCTCATCATAAGCTTTTTTTTCTCAAGCTCATCATAAGCTTTTTTTATCCTCTTCTTCGTGTTCTATTGATCAGAAGCATCCAGCAGCGCCTCGCCGGTTTCGAATTCTAACACAAAATGGCCAAAGAATCAATTAGTAATATGCCTTCTATTGCCAAAAGACCTTATCTTCTCCTCTTGGTAAAGAGAGCCTCCATTTCGAGTTCGACAAAGTGAAAGAATCGATTCGATCATTCAAGTCGGATAGCATTTATCTACGCTAGGATCCGACCTACATGAACTTCTTTCTTCTCTTATGATATTTCTAATAGCGAGAAAGATAAATAATGGGGAATAGAATACAAGTGTTGAGTACCAGCTTCTACTCTTGTGAAAGGTGGGCCTGACCTCTTCCTTTCTATTTAGAAAGTGAAAGTCCTTGCCGGTGTGACAGTATGAGTAGACGGTGCTCTTCTCTTTCCGGGTTCATAATCGGTGCTATTGAATCTGCAGTTAAGGGAATATCGCCAGTTCTTTGAAAAAGAGTTCCGCTCACTTCATCCCTCTCCTTTCAGTCGAGTCACTTCGTCCCTTTGAGGGAGGTTTAGCCTAGCCTTCAGGTCCCATAAAAAAAATGGAGCTTACCGGTTTATAGAATTGAGAAATAGATGTCCTACCAAGGCTGTATGGAATAGAATGAAGGGTTAGGGTTCTTGCGGGAAGAAGGACAAACCGGGCCCCTAGTGGTCCTTATCTTATCACGCCACACATGGAGACATCTCAAATAGGTAAATTGGTTTGGGAAGACGGGGGAAAAACATCCATCGTTTAGGTTTCTGAGTAGCTAAAGTTAAGATAGAATAGGTCATCACATCCTGGGGTTGAAGAATGAGCAGCTTTAAAAAGGAAATGGCAAGCAGGAAGGAGAGTAGTAACGTCGTATTATCCATCCGAAGCAGTAGCAGGCCAGGCACTGGTCTTTCTATCTTCTGGCTGTTCCCAGAAGGAATTTCCGAGCTTTTGAAATAATAGCTGTGGCACTCTCTTTCTTCCATAGAGAAGGAACTTATCCTTAGACTTTTGGAGCTTTGGCTTTGGTTTGGACCTGTACTAGTCCGAGAAGTGAGAGCACCAGGTTGGAAGATGCTGGTTCGAGAGGACCTGGAAAAATGCTAGTAAGAAGGAGGCTAGTTTGCTAGGTTGTAGATCTTCTCCCTTATTCTTTATAGAGGAATCCCCTAAATTAAAATAAGATCTTTCTCCGCTCCGTCAAAAGCCTAATTGAGACAAATCAGCTCTTACTGTTCTCCGGTCTTTGCTCTTGAAGATCCGCTCTTGAGAACCTCTATCTCTTTCTTCAAAGCCTCATTCGAAGCCTGTCAGTCTTACATACAGTATATTACCCGCAAGTTCATCTTCTTTGATAGGATATTAGATTAGTCAGCAATCCAAGTTCCAGCTGGTTCTCAAACTTCAGAGGTGGCCTTACTTCCTTTTTAAAGCAAACATGTGGACATAAAAAAGAATGAAATTGATAGAATAGAGGAAGATTAATGTGCAGCTGATTCTATACCAGCCGATTCAATTGTTCAGCTACTTCGAAAAAACTTACTATTATGGCTATGTAAGGGGACCGGCTTCCCCTTTTTCAATCACCTCCTACCTTAAGGTAGGCCCACTGCTGAATACCCTCAATCGAAAGGTCAAGGAGATTATATAACCCCATAGTATGAAGAGCTGCTCGGGGGATCGCACCCCTTGGCCTAGGGTATACATTCAGATCTGGAGGCATACCTAATTAACGATAAGAGCAGAGATCTCCTCTCTCCTTCGGACCCTCTACCTCTACTTCCCTTCCGCTCATAAACAGCCTTCCAGCAAGGAGAAAGAGATAAAGAAGAAAATTCTCAAATTCCCACAAATGGTTTGAATAAGCATTCCTTAGAGAGGGAATGTCGGATGAGACACTATTTGGCCTTCTTTCAGGAGTTGTAGATAGTATCACCTTTAGCTGGTAGCTAGCAAAGAAGTTATCCCCTATCAACGTATATAGTTGAGGGCAAACCGAGGTTTTACCCGCAGCTTCTGTCCATGAATCTTCTTTCGCTTGGTTACGGGACTAGAGCGAATCGTCTCTTGTGCTACGGTCTAATATATGTGTCAAAGAGCGGATTCTCTTGCAGCGGATACGGGGCATGCCCCTGAGCCTATTGATTCAATTCCTAGCAAGTCCTGTCTCTCTCCTTCACTTAAAACACAGCCTATGATGATTCTCAATTCCTTTTTTTGAAACTTCAGTAGGCTCCCCCTTCTTTGGCGATAAGGCTCATCAGTAGATTGACTACGAGGCCGAAGAGTCTTACTACAGGGGTTACCACTCCTGCAAGACTGATTTGGGTTCCAGAGTTGTTATAAGGGCGGGACGGCGAGAGGAGGAAGCTACTACTACCGGGCGAGATGTTAGTGGAAAAGAATAGGGTTCAGAGGAGAGGTCACAAGCTACCACTACTACGTAATCTACTTCTACTGCTACTTGAAATCGATTCTCTTTCATGACTCTCTTTCTCATTCTCTTTCCACCACTAGTTAGAAATAGACAAGAGCATTCCCTGGAACAGGCCTACGAGAGGTATTCAACAAGCGCCACTCAACTGCGCAAACTAAGCCCTCCATAGAAGTTCAAGGAAGTAAAGCTACATACTACTGGAAAGAGATGGGCTTTCTCCTTTCTATTTCTTGCGGGCTATTGATTTCGGGTTGAGACTTTGCTTGCTTACTTTCACACTTCCTTCAGTGAGCTACTTAAGGTTTAAGGTAAGGGGCACTCCTAGCATAGATTACCATTCTAACCTGTCTTTGCTGGTAGATAGATGCGCTTAATTAGTTACCTGAATTAAAGAGGACTCTTGAATAAGTTGACTTCGCCTGGGCGTCATCTTTCCTTTCATTCACTAGTTGAGTACTTCCTCCTGTCAGATAGAAGCTTTTCAAAGGAGTTTTCACTTCCTCAATTAAGGGCATTCTAGTTCGACATGCTACCTTCTCGATGTATCGATTCTTGGTAGACAAGGCTGGTTTAGATCGAGACGCCCACCTTTCGGTCCGGGGCTGAAGTTTTCTCTTTCTGTCGGAAAACGAGCTTCTGGCAAAACATCGGGAGGGAGTGCTACTGCTTCCTTAATTCATCAATTCCCATCTATGAAAGGGATCCAATTCGGTATCTTGCGTACGAATTCATGTTGTCAACGAGGATCTTAGCCCCTTTCCTTGTTGTTTTCCCGTAAAATGAAAAAAAAGGAATGCCTTTAAGTGAGAGCAGAATGTAGGAACGAAGCTTCCCGGAGTCCATCGATTCATTCCCAATCCCATCCCGTTCTCTCACCAACTTGAATAGCTTATTTTCCTTCTCAACTCAAGGTGATCTAAATATCATGTCTACGACCCTCACCTCCCCGGAAAGCGCCTTCGTTCCGCATCAATTGTACAATAAAATATATCTCGATTGGACTAAGGAAGAACAAAAAATCTTCGCTCGATGATTATTTAGTTTCTCCTGTTACCTTGTTTCAAAGCTAGCGCCCCTGCTCTTTCTATGAGTTGGCTACTCCGTTGTACGCTATCTTTCTCTTCACACCTGGCCACCCCGGTTCCTTTCTGCTTTTTTTCTTGCTACGGGATTAGCCTGTTTGGCGTGGTTTGTTACCTAAAAACACCATCCTTTCTTATTGGCGTTAGGGAAAAGTCGAATTTCTTTTTTAATCCCTGGGGAGTTTCACGCTCGAGACCAATCATCTATGTAAAATAGATGAGAGCGAGAAAGAAGGCTCGAGAGACCTGTCTGGAATCAATCAACAAAAGCTTCACTTCACCTGCACAAGCACACGGTACTATACTAATGGAAGCCCTACCTACCGAGGAACCACATGAAACGAAGAATAAAACTTCAAACTCGCTAGAATGCAATGTAAGGGTTACGACGGATGGGACCTTAATAAGGCAATTTCTAAGATAAGACGGACGACTCGGCTGCCTTCCCCGCTAAAAATCTTTCCCGACGGTCGCTCAAGCACTTTCACGCAACAAGAAAGCAAAGCGTATCCTATCTCGCGCCATCCGAATAGGTTTCAAAGCAAGCAGTACGGCGCAACAGAGGAGCCCATTCAGTATCGTCTTTGTTTGTGAATATTAATGCGTCCTGTCTTCATGTTGTATTATTCCCATTGACTGTGACCAAACTGCGTTCCGAGTGTCTTTGTAGAGAAGAGAGAAATCTTCCCCTAAGATAGTCAGGGATAAACCGCTCTACAGAACAGGGAACAGGAAGGAAAGTCAAAACCCCCGATAAGAAAAAGCAATCAGCCGCTGTCACCGACCGGGACTCAGATCGGATGGTGGAGTACTATTCTACCACAACGAGACAGGCATCATCGAATCGAAGGCCGAATAGAAAGCATTCCCCCCAGTTAAGAGTGCTTCTGCCCCGCCAACAGCTCTCCGGTCTCCCCAGGTGCTCATGTTACTTAACAAAAAAGCATGAAAATGATGACGTAGGGTGGAAACCCTTCGTGACTGCAATCGTACGTTTTCGTCTTAAGAGAAACAACCTCTGAATCCGGTTTTGTCATTAGGATAGGAGGGAAATCGGCAGCTCGACGGGGAGCTTGCCCGCCCGCCCGGTTTTTGAGACCCTTTCTGATTCCCTCACCCAATCTCATGAGAAGCAAGCCCAGCAGGCCCTGCCTTAACCTGTCCTCAGACAGCCAGCCCTCACCAGGCTGCTGGCATTGCTAAATGCTCCGCCACGAAGCAAGCTTTCCCGAATACGACAGATGCGGAAGTGGCTAAAGAAGTCGGAGGAAGAAAGTTGTTGGACAACTGTATACACGAGGGTACATTAGTATTCTGGGAATTGGCAACATTGAAAGAAAGGGTAAGGGGTAGGAATCAACTTTTTTAGGTGTTGCTCTACTAAAGTAGTCGGCCTAACCTTCGGTTCCCGTAACCAAGTTTTTCTTTCTCACTCCTTATGTACTTTTTTTTACTTCATCCATACTTTTTTACTTTTTCTGAAGTGTGGGGCAAACGGCGCCCTCTACTTCTACTTCTAACTAAAGGCGAACAGCCGGCATTGCAAGCAAATAGAAAGCCCCCGCCCCTTTGAGCCGGAAAGCGTACCGGCTGTTTGAGTCGCGAAAGGGCCGCTTGCTTAATATTATTTAGATATATAATAATAATAGATAGATAATATTATATTATATATCTATCTATAAACAAAAATAAAAAACGAAAATAAAGAAAAGAATTTTTTTAGAAAATTCTTCATTCCTGGGAAGAGGAAGAAGCAGATAGGACAAAGGCCTTCTCTTTCCGTCCGCTCTTCCCGAAGTGAGCGAATTGCATGTAGAGATCCGTAGGGGCTTATAGTTTAATTGGTTGAAACGTACCGCTCATAACGGTGATATTGTAGGTTCGAGCCCTACTAAGCCTACCACCCCCTTCTCTTCACCTGATACAAGGCAGTCGAAGTACCCGCCACCCTGCAGATCTCAATCTAGCGACGGCATCTGGAACCACACTGCTGCCGCTGCCCTTCGGGCACGCCTCCTATGCTTATCACTCACCTACGCTCTTGCAGCATGCCCCCTTCGGGCAATACGGTGTAATACGCGAAGCAGCTGAGCCATAGCTCTTCGATCGCTATATTCTTGCGATAGCGAAGGCGTGGTTCATCCTCTAAGAGAGAGTAGATGCGAAGGTTCGGATCGAAGATCTTCGCGAGACAGCCCCGGGGCACCATAGCATGTCGGGAATAAGGGGGACATAGTGAACGTAACCACTCCCTTGGTTGGGGGCTGTGACTCCCCTATCCTTTCAATTTTTTGATTCCCAGGTCTTTTTTATTATCACTGTTGGAATATTTTTGTTGACGACTTGGTCAGGGCGGTTCACAATTTCTTTGCTGAAGGCGCTGTTAAGCCCTAAGTTTGAATTCCAATTTAATTGCCCTTATTCCGAAAGTCTAAAGTCCTTCCAATTTTCACCAATTCCGACCTACCTTTATTTATGGGATATTTGAAGGAGAGCTTTGTAACTTTTTCTATAAAATTCTCTCTAGCTCGAAGAATTAGTTTGATTCTCCCTATAAAAATAGTTAAGGAAAAAGGGGCGCTTTTGTTAAAGGACTCACTATTGTAGAGAAGATCTCCTTGGCTCACGAGGTGGCTTTAAGTGATAGGGGATTTTAACCTAAAGACAACATAGGAGGGAGGGGGGTCAAAAGAAAGTCAGGATATGGCAAAAGCATCTTTTTGGATCGAATGGGCTTTTGTGATAAATGGCGGAATTTGATACATGGATGTTTATGTAATGAAGACTTTGGAGTGCTTGTGGATGGTGTGCCACATGGGTACTTTCCAGCTTCTCGAGGGCTGCGACAAGGGTTCCAAACCTAGCCTGTTGATTTTAGCTGAAGAAGTGCTAAGCCGGGACTTGGTATCATTGAAAATGATAACATTTTACCATGCTTCGAGATCGTGCCCAGCACTCTCCTACTTTCTCTTTGATAACGATGTTCTAATATTATATAATAGCCATAAACGGAATCTTAAGAAGCAGAAAATCTTTCTGGAAAGAAGTAAGAAGCTGATTGTAATGTTGTAATGGCCAAAAGGTCAATTTCGATAAGAGCCAGTGCTTCCTCTCGAACAGAGCTCCTCGCAGAAATTCCAGATCATTGAAGAGGAATCAAAATAAAATGGTAGTTTTCCTATCAAGTACCTGGATGTTTTCTTGTCCCTCAAGAGAATAAAGAGAGAACCTTCCTCTACTGGAGAAAATGAAAAAGAGAATCTCAGATTGGAAAAGAAAATTGTTGTCCTCCGGAGGTCGACTAAGGCTTCTTAAACATGTTCTAGTCTTCCTATGCACATGTGAAAGTTTTTTCCTGAATTAGCCGGCCCACACTTCGGCTACTAATAATGGGATAAGACCTTACTACTAT